TAACAATCCTGCTATACTTTTCTCTCCTTTCTCCTAAGAGTGACAGAATGAGGAAGGTTTTATTCTTCCTAATTAAAGTATTTCAGATACAGATAAGAGAGAATAATATATTTAGATCCATTAGAAATATTAAAATTACTCGATTAAATTAATAATATTTATTTGCATTACAGATCTATCAATGTAGAACTGTTAGGACCTATGGAAATGTGTCTGATTTCGCTCTGGAAACTCTAGAAAAAAGATCCCAAAGTTAAATCCATATGAGGTAAACTCAGGACGATAAGGTATATCAACACTAACGATATTGTCCAATCGCTTATTCAACGGGCAATAATTTTACCCAACCGATTTCTATCTAGTTTTGAAATGTATTCATCAAGATTCTAGTGTTACACTATTCTAAAATCACTCAAAAATCTGTAAGACCATTCAAGTGAATAGAGCTCGATTCTCATTAATGACTGAATTTGATGTAGATGCTGTGCTCTTAAGAACCGATATAGACTATGAATGTGAACAGATACTCATCAATTAAATTAAGTAATATTCCTGATATAATATTGTTTGACGCAAATGGAAAATGTACACCAGTGGATTCTGACTGGAATGCTTTATGATCAACTCCCCACTGGCTGGTTCATCACTCTTGAAGTCAGTATAGTACTTTGTTGGAGTTATACACTATGGAGGAACTCTTAATGATTGTTCGTATAACTTTAATTTTCAAAACTTCACTCAACTAGTTTCCTGCTAGTGTTTGAGAGGAAATCTCAGTACTGGTATGAGTAATAGAGAAAAAACTCCAAGGACTATAAATTTCACACAAATTCCTATTAAGTGATCTATTTACCAATAACTATGGATAACTCGTAAACGCCGACAGCTGAATTCTCTTAGGGATATTCTTCTCAAAAACTGCCTTAATAAGAGCATTACTCTCTCACTGAAAGCATTTCAAGGATATTTCTGAAGACAAAAGAACAACTGTTCTTTACTGGCCGTATTTCATCAAAGTGGAATTAAGAGCTCTAGACACTCATGCATAAAATAAGTCAATCCTTCATGAATGTTATAGAAATTTGGGATTTGTTCCTCTTACATCATATTGAAATAGTCAACTGAAAATTGTGCAAATTGAAATATACTACTTAAGTAAACACTTTCATTATAAGAAAATGTTCTTATACACGAGAAAGGGCTAAGAAATTATTGATAAATTTGAGGTAGACAATTTGAAAGAACAAAAGTATGATTACGTTACATTAATGAGGTTTTTAGTAATTGCAGATTTCCTCTAGGAATGTCAACCTCCCTCACATTTATTATAGTTGGTCGAAATATCGCAGTTTGTGATGCAGACAGAATTTTACTGGTCAATGAAATAAAAATTTCCACTGACATAGTTTAGGGAGTTCATAATAACTTCATCTGGCCGACAATATGGCAGAATTATATTCTTTATAAGTTATGGATATTCAGTATAAAGAATGTTCACATTCTCAAGTAGATTGGATCATAATCATTGTATGTATTGTGTTTAAAATTCCGTTGTTTTTCCCTATGTACTATATCTTCCAGCATTTCATTTCAATACAGACCATTGATTGCATTTCACATACGATAATAGTACAACTCAGAAACCATGATCAAACTAGTAGGTATAGAAATGAGATCAGGTCGAATTTAGTTAAACATAAAATCAGATGAATCAATGATGATGTAATAGTTGTTATTATATATTGGAATGAGTAAATCTACTCCTTTATTTCAGGGATAATGTTTTAGCCGCTATTTTTGTCTACCGTATGCATTACAAAAATAGATTTACTCAATACGTTCAAAATCGGTACATGAGATTCTTTAAGTCCAGTGTTCGATCATTTACTGTGGTATCTACTTGAATGTATGCATGAAAACCTTACTACTGTTTCACAAAAGATCCACATGGAATGGTAAAACTAGTTGGAACAAAGAACGTGTTATTCTAAGGAAATATATACGTTAAACAGAGATGGATCGTGACTAGCATTGGAATCCATGATGTGCGTTTCGACCCATTTGGAACTCGTCGCTGTATGTATTTGGATCCCAGAGTTATTATTATTATTATTATTATTATTATTATTATTATTATTATTATTATTATTATTATTAATGGCTTTATTCACCCCAGGACTCCAAGCCAGTACCGTTTGCTTCAAACTCGATCGTGTTACCCATTTAGCTACTGAGCCCAGATAGCCACTGGCTTGTGCAAAGAAGTAATGTTTAACTCATATGTATTAGTTGTTTTGATCTTTCTATTAACTTAAAGGTATATTTAACTAAATAGTCCCAAATAGGGAGAAAGGCGCGCCCTACATTACAATGCTAACCACCACCCATCTTTGCTTAAAATGCTAGCAACTTAATAATAACATTGAGGCAGTCCTCACAAGATTCACATATACCAAAAGACACTGATCAATGGGAAGATCTAAACAACCAATATATATAAATTAAAAAGTATATCCATTATGATTCTTTGTTTTTTGAACTGTAAAGACAAAATATTTACCACATTGAAAATATATTGATAATGGACTATCAAATGTAAAAACGGATAACTTCGAATACTGAATAGCGTAATATAGTAAAACATATGGCTTTCTGGTAAGAAATTTCTTTTTCATTATCAAATATCAAGATAAACTAGGCAATTCAGTCTAACAAAATTAACAAATCAATATTGCAAACTATAACTAACAACTGATAATCGTTAATTAAATAAGTAAATCCTGTAACCTATTTAATAATAGCTGGATGCTTTAAGTGACCGCGCGTAAACATTCATACAAACCAAAATATATTCAACTGATAAAGTCCAAATGAAACGAAACACGTTTAAGATACCATTGTTAATCACTAGTATAAATGACAAACTACTATTTCTTCTCACAGTTCATACAGATTTGTGCCTAGCAGTGGAATTCTGGTTACGTTATTCATCCTATTTCGAACTCGTCAGTTAGAGATAACTGCATTCCAGTGATTTTCCCACAGTTATATATATATAATTAAAATTTAATTATCTAAATATGGATATTTAATCAATAATCTCAGGTTTTAAAAAAGTAACCATTTCAATTCATCAGTCAATCATTTACTGTATTCATGTTATCTAGAAAATAAATTCACTATAAATATGCAACAGATACATTTTATAAACTGTGACTAAATATACAAAATGTCTATGATATTCACATGATAATAACTGAAGTAATCCTTATTTCACGCAAATTTAATATTTTACACCTACATACAATCATTCATACAATACAATAACAATGAAAATACAAGGATAACCACCCATTTTTTAAAATGTTCAATAAAAGTGTAATATTCAACATTTTTCTATTCATTTATTAAGTGAGTGTTGCACATAACAGTAAGATTTTCACTTCACTAGTCACTGTGTCTCACTAGAACTCTCAGAAATCATCTTGAAGCCAATCACTAGTGAGCACATGATGATTATGATCAGAATGGTGTATGTGGAGATTTCAATAGTCGGATTCATGAGTCGATATAAACTAGATCACTATTCAAAACCTGGAAGAATTGGACGGCCGTTTTATTTTAGTATGGGACTCCTGAACAGTGCGCAACCATTCATGGGTCGATTGGTGTTAGACATCAACACCATCGGATGCCGACTCATTGGTCTAGAGGTTAAGCATTTACGCGCGAGAACGAAAATCCTGGGTCCAATTGATCGCAGAAATTTGGATTCTCATTTAAGTTGTGGCGGATGTGATGCTTGTATGGACTAATGACTTCTTTGTACTTGTTGACTGCCTGATTTCGAATTTTAAATACAATACGTTCGTTCGCGTTTATCTAGTACTTCTTGGTTAAATTGCGTTATTTCTGGAATCCTCAGTTTGTATTACAATTCAAATATTTCAAACTATCACACTAACTTATACAGGAAATTATCACTCTGGATATTTTTGTGTACATGATACTAATTATTGATCTATACAAATATCCTAATTTCGTGTAGAGATCTACATCAAATCTACTATTTAATCAATAAATTTTTTTAAATAGTTGAGATCATGAGTCAATTGAAGCTAGACGACTGCGAAAAACTCGGAAGCACTGGTTCCATCATATTGTGGGACTCCTCAGCAGTGCGCACGAACGATCCCGCCTCGCGAGATTCGAACCCAGGACCTTCAGTCTCGCGTGCGAACGATTAACCTCTAGTGATAAGCAGTGACCAGTGGAATTAAACCAGGTCTATTGTGAGATAGTAACTCACTGATGACAATGGTGGATATGTTGCTCGATTTCGTGGATTTGTTAAAGTTGGACATTAACACCGCTGGATGCCGGCCGCATCAGTGGTCCGGTTTTTCGTGGTTGTCTTGCTTCAATCGACTTACAATCCCAACTATTAAAGTATAAATAAAGCAGGAACAAGGTTTGCAGAATCACATGAATTCCTTATATTTCAAGTTTTCGCATCAGATAGAGTCTAAAATCAGATAAGTAATATTGTTTCAAAGTTTTACATATCGTAATCAATGCAATCTAATTTTTATAACAAAGCTACTGATGTAAATTTAGACCATTTTCAGCTTACAAGTAGCCTTGAAACTAAAAATTTCTTTACGTTAACAAATAGAATAATGTTATGGTTTTAGTAATTTTTACATCAATGAAATCCTCCGATTAATCCATTCACAAATACATTTAACTTGTGAATGTTGTATAGGTTTATTCAACGTTTTCTATTTCGAAGATTATAATATTTTCTTTTAGAATTTAGGCATGAAGTATGTTAGTAAATTGTTATATGCCTATTTAATTTCGTAACAACTACTAGGTCACTTTCAATATGAAATATTTAAATGTATATCACATTTTCTAGAATTTATGACCACTAGAGTAAGGAAACTACAAGATATGAAAAAAGAAACTAGTTAGCCAGTTTTTAAGGTGAAGGACAAAAAAGATTTAACAAATTTGTCGTTAATATCTACTGCTTGTCAGTTCATAGAAATTGTTTTATTTCGACTAAAATAATTTATCAAATAAAAAAAAAATTCTGAATAAATCAGTTACCTGATAACTTATCGATTTACCTGTCAGTGAGTTAATTTCAATTATCAACGATAAACATTAAAAATAACACATAGGCCATTTTAGTAATTGCTAACATTTAAATAGTCAAATATGTTATTAGCTACATATAATTGTTAATAGTTCTTTTAGGATTATCGTTGTCGACAAAAATGTGCTGATATCCGGAGGCAACACGATGTTAGTAATGCCGAGGTTTAAATATGTATATTCGGGAGTATTGGCGATAACTGAATTTGTGTCACCACCTTGAAACATTGGTTTGGAGGCATTTTACTGATGTCATATCAGCGTCTTCCGTATCAAGTATTTAATGATGATACTAGGACAGCGTAGAGAAGAAGAGGTTGTCATTTTATGACATGGTGATGTGATATGGAAAAAAGCTATATATAACTAGTGTCTGTCAACTTATTATGAATCGCTGATTGTGGTCCTGGAGGTGGTGCCACCCAATGGTTTCGAACGTTATCAGAAATATCTCGAAATAGAGGACAGTTTGAACCCTGCTGTAGTCTAATTTAAATTCTCCACAAAAGTGAGGAGGATACCGTCGAGTAAACCAGGTCTTTCTTAGTTGTATTTCCAACTGAATTATATTTCCTGTTCTTGTTTACTCATTTTTTTGGATAGTCTCTTTCTCTCCTTTATTTTCTCATAATATCTCTTTATTTAGTGTGGTGCATACTACTTTTGGTTACAAGTTGTACAAGTTTTTATGTATGCTAAATATAAAACTATCAAAACACATTAAGAATAAACTCTTACACCAAGGTACAGTTTAAATCTCGAGCACTAAATATGTAAGAAATACACATTAACATCAGAAGTTATTTTAGCTGATGAATAGTATCAGTGGGAACCAAACATGTGAATCTGTTGTTGTAATAAAAAAAGAAGTTATATTTTTCAATCCTGTCTCATTAAAAAGATACACACATTAAATGTTTACTTTTGTATAGACGTCCATCACTAAAAATTAGTTATATATACCATAGGTAAACGGGAAAATAATCACAGCCTTTAATAACAAATAATGCAAGAAGAAAATAGTACTTACACTAACGAGAAATAAATAAAGAAACAAACAGTTTAAACAATCATAATGAGGAATGAAAAGAAGACAAATTTGAAAACTGTAGGGTGAAGGATAAAATTAACTAAGATGAGGACAATAACAATAACAACAACCAAAAGGAATTGTTCCTTCATGGCACAAACAAACAAATACATTGATTTCACATAATTCATTTCAGTAGAGAGCAAAAATACTAGACCGAATACCTTGTAAACATACTAAAATAATACTGGTATTCACAATACATTATTATGATGTAAAAAGAATACAGTGCTGACTGTGCAGTAAAACAATACATAATCACGCAATTTAGACTGAATGTAAAGGTCGTAGAGTTAATGCTATTCTTTGTATTTCATTTAAACTAAGAACAACATTTTGTTCAACAACACAAAAACGAAAAAAATAAAATGAATAAATAAATAATTAAATAAGAAAAGAATGCTGTTTCAACAAACGGTACGCACACACACACACACGTCTACACACATGCATGTATACATTCAGAGATTTGTCGTCATGGCAAAAACAGATAGATAGATTAGGTTGTAAAACAGAAACACAAGGTCTAACAACAAAAGGCATAATTAAAGGTGAGAAATCAATAAACTATCTGAATTACGTCATAGAATATTAATAAAAATAAAGAAAAAAAGAGAAAATAAAACGTAATTGGAAAGTGAAGTGATCATTAATTACATTTGCTGTACAGACAAGCTATACATTGAGAGAGATCTCTCTCTCTCTCTCACAGACATACAAATATACCCTCACCCCTTCCCTCTCTACAAATATGTACCATTAGTAAAAGAAATACATATTTAATCTATTCAGTGGTAACAGTGCATTCCATTATCCACTAATAACTTTCTTATATTATTCTCCGTGTTTACGAATAACACAAAAGACAGATGTGAAAATAAAAGCGGATAAACATCAACGCACATGCACGCGCACATTTATAAACACACACAAACACACCTGAAAGACAGTATACTGGAATAAGTCGATTCACGTGAATCGGTAAAACAAAATGTGTGTAGTATATATGAATATGTATGCAAGTGTATGTATCAATGCATTATTTGGATTCAACAGATGATTGACATTGTATCGGTGGTTCCTGACCCCCAACTGTAGTCATTGATGATACAGAAGCTCTACGAATATTTGATGATGTAAATGGTTTACTTTTTGCAATACGTTCAGCTGAATCTGGATTCAATGTACCTAATGATGTAATAATACCAGATGTGGATGTGTTTACATTTTCTAGGTGTGTTGATTCTTCCGTTGTTGTTGTGATCGATTTTCCCGTAGTTCCAACTAATGTTCCTGGTGTAGTCTCTGATTCATCATTTAATCCATATAATGAATGATCAACTTCACCATTTTCAGATAGAATAAGCCAACATGTACGATTACGTTTACAGCCTTTTAGTAATGGTTCGAAATTTGGAGAAACTTGTACAATAGCCTGTTTTTCAAAAAAAAATTTTTGGACATAATTTTGATTTGGAAAAAAGAGCAAAACAAATAAACAACATTACTGTTGTACGTTGTATGGAATTGAACACTTTTATTATAATATAGCTTAATAAATAAGGTTGTAATATCATATAATCAATCCCTTTATTTATTATGAAACTGGTATAGATTAAAAGTGAAAATCAGCATACAATGGTATATGATATTATTTTATTCAATATTATTTAGATATTTTCAGTTTACAGTAATAAAAAAACATAAACAGTACTCCGTAGATTGGAAAAAATGTAGAGATGACCAAAATAACGTTTGTCATCAGATTATGAAGTTATAGACTATGAGACTAAGATGTATAGACAGATCATAGACTGTCTGGTCGGAATCAATGACATTGTTATGAAAAATGATTGGATATTTCCAATAACATGTCTTGGAACCGATCACAATGGCATGGATGATAATTACCCTTGAGTCTTGAATCTTAAAGTTGTCTCATTTCTTTTTTTATATCATACTTTCTATGTCTATCAGTGATACTACTATTAATCTTACTATTCAGGGATTTGTTTTCACAATTTTATGTTTCAATGCTGATAAAGTGTGACAACTTAACCTGATGACATTAACACCGTCGGATGCCGGCTCAGTGGTCTGGAAGTTAAGCGTTCGCGTACGAAACCGACAGGTCCTGGGTTCGAGTCTCGCGGGACAGGATCGTGCGTGTGCACTTCTGAAGAGTCCCGTACCAGGGCAAAACGGCCGTCCAGTGCTTTCAGGTTTTCTATGGTGATCTAGCTTTATTGACTCATGAATTGAACTAAAAAATTACTAAAATCTCCACAAAACCGCCTTTTGATGAATATTTGTTCAAAGTTCTATGTTGCTTAAAATTGACTGATTAGACAATATTGTGGTTCTCAAGGCAATATTACCTAGACATTGACTTATTTCGACAATACATTTTAGACTTATCACAATCTTAATTACATTCAAACGGTTAACTCGACTGGTTGTAATTCATGATAAATATAATCAAATAATTATAGACTAAATCAGTTTATTAAAATTTTTCGAACGATCTATGTTTATACAAGGATTAAGTCAAATTATAATTATATCAAAATGATTAATGGAAACATAAAATTAATGATGGAATGTAACTATATAAGGAATACTTTTTAATAAACAAAAGTCAAACATTTACCTCGTAAATTGGCATACAAATTGAGTCGATGAAGCTGACTTGTAGGTTTGGAAGTTCATTACTACGTTCACGATCCATTAATGCCTTGATATTAAAATAGAAGGTGAAAGAATACACTAACAGTATCACAAAAAAACTTAATAATCATACTATTTCGGAAAATTAAACATTATTTAGAATGGGGGAATCGAGGCTACCGAGAGAATTCAGGAGGCGCGTTTCCTCCTATTTACGACTCATTAGCTAGATGTATCTGCAATTCAAAGTTGATGTTCACAATAGGACTCGAACGAAGTAACTTTCATACCAAACGCTAAAAGCTTTATTCACTGAACTATTAATTCTGGACGGCCATTGACTTGACCAACCAATAGGACGTTTTTATATCATAAAAATAATTTAGGATTGTTTTAACAGATACTAATGTTGTTTTCTATCTATCAATGTGACTGTTAATTAATCTGATCTATTTTAAATTTATCTAAATTTTTGTTGAATGTCACTTAACGTAGATTTCTCACAAGTTTGTCTGTGCTTTTACCTTCACGTTTGGTTATTTGACAGCTTATGTTCCTGCGTATATAATAAAGATAAACTTGTTTAATATAAACAAACTGAAATTGAAGATAGTTTTTGTCACTGAATAACATAAACAAGAATAACACAACAAAATAAAGAAGGATTGGACAGCACGTAACTTTTCACCAGTTTACTAGAAGAAAAGAACGGAAACAGAAAGAGGTTAGTATGGAAATACAGGGACACTGAGACGATTGACTGATATTTGCAAATGGAACAGTTTGAGATACTTGACTGACATTTTGCAAATCAGGTATTCACTGTGTGGTTCTCAGATTTTACAAGATGTTCTGTAATTTTGTGTTCAAATACATTTAATTGTCCCCACTAGTTTTTGCGTTCACTACACTAGTATACAAAACAAAGCATGTGATTTCTTTAAGTTATCGTTTTCTTTTAACATTCAGTCTCTCTCATGAAAGTCTATCTCTGATAAGCTAACTCATAATTAATTGTTTTTATTTACTAAGATGGGTTTTTCTTGAAGACTTTTTTCGAATTGGATAGGTTTTTCAAAACGGAATGACATCGGTTAGAAGACTAGTAAAGGCTAAAATTCACTGAACAATTCAATTTACAAGTGGCATTACATATCCCAAAAGGAGTGAAGATAACCGGAATCAGTGCATTAGAATACAACTTATTCTCATAGTGGATTTCATTGAGTTTTCAACATTCTAATGTAAAATCGTTAGGGTGTATTGATGAAGCGTATCAGACTAAAATGAACCAATTATTTTTCTCCTTGGATTTTTGTGGTCTATCTCCTAACTTTAAGCAATCTTCAGTGAAAATCAATCTATCAATGAGCGAATGTAGAAAAACAACCTTCAAAAGAAAAAAACCACCATTCAATCTATTTAGACACTTAACGAAGTTAACTGATTCCTGATAGTAAATTTTTTGTAAAGTATTTGGTTGAATTTACAGACTGAAATAATACGTAAACGGGATATAAATGGTAATTAACAAAACAAATCAAATTTATGGTAAATAGTACGCAACATTGGACTGAAGCCAAATCTTCGAAAAAAAATGCTTAAAACTGTTATTAATTACCAATAAACAACAAGTTTCCAAATAATCCAATTCAAGGGAACAAGAGTATCCGTAATTATATATATAAGAAATTATTTGTACAGGAACAAGATAAGGCAAAATAAGTTAGTGACGTGATCCATTGAATAAACCACGCATTATTAACTAATAACAAGGCGTAAATAAGCTGATGAAATTGATTAAACATTACCTACAAATAACAATGGTGAAGTAACCATAACCACGGTAACTATAATAATAATAGTGATAATAATAAGTCAATATAATACGAAAAATACATGGAAACGTGCATCATTATTACTGTTAAGAGTTTTTAACGTATTGAAAAATTATAAATAACCAAAAAAATATAACTGAATTGAATAATAAACATGATTATGTAATTCAATGAGAAATAAGAATACTTGCAAAGAGTATGAATACAAAAAACGAACAAAATGTTGAAAATAAAGTATGGTTGGATTAGGAAGGATGAAATAGTTATTCAGTGCTCTTATACGGTACCCCTTAACTGATATCATTTGGAGGTGAAAACTTCAAATTATTTAGACTGGATTTATGTATACAAAGAACTAAATCAAAGATGTAATTATTCGTTTATTAGTGACCAGCTTCAAAATAGGTTCACAAGCTTCTATTGATTGACAAATTCCTGTCATTTCGAGTATAAGATAATTGTCATTGGTCGACTGTCGAAGATATCACGAAGTAACTGTGTTAAGTTTTTCGCTATCCGATCTAGATACCCTTATTGCATGTTATTTTTCGGACACTTGACCTCACTTGATCAGTCTCCAAAATCATAGTTCGTGATGAAAATTTGCTAAAAATCTAGCCTAGTTTCAACTACCGTTAACTAATTCATTAAGGAGTAAAATACAAATATTTTAGCGTATATAATTTGAGTGGTCGTCAAGCCATCACCACTGTCTATACAAAATGTAACAACTAATCATTATTTTGTCAAATTTACTACTCAAATGATATACTTGGATCTAGTCAACAACACATATAACTACCATTTGATACAGTTTGAAATCTTCTTTATGTACTTGCAAATGACACTTTCTAAATTCCATAATAATAATAAATAATCTATTTTGCATTATTCTAGTAAGAAAGTTAATTTTTTTAACTGATGTATTACAATGAAACATTACCGAACCAATAACGAAATATCAATCATAACTGTAAATGAAAATACTACTTTTTATAACAAAAACTAACAAAAAAAACAAAGTTAGTTCTATAACAGTAGAACAATTCACTAGAATTGTTTTAAAAAAAATTTAAAAAAATCATATTTTCCACTAAACAACATAATCCCAGCTAAAATTCTTTCACAAAACATGGTACAATAAATCGTCGAATTTGATCAATTACAAGTTTTATCACATTTACCGATCAGTGAATCTTTCTACTAAATAAATGTTCCCTCCTTTTTTCTCTCATGTATTTAACTAAAACACATGTGACAATTCAATATCTGATAAGTCTCTATAAATAATATTTATTGTTATTGTGAATAACGAGCTATCTTTGTTCTTTTGTGCACAAAATCAAAATGAAACTATATGTGATTACTATTTATTAGAATCAATAATACTTATGCGGTGTATGCTACTAATGTTGACAGATATAATTAGTATGTGGGACCGATCGGAAGTGCCTGGGAGCAGAGGATCCCAATGAAGATAACAGGAAGGAAATTCGAGAGAAATCGAAATAACAACAGAATTAGAGGAATAATGGAATATGTAAAGAACAACTGAAAATAGATGTGCAAATGATGTGTTTGATGTATGATTTTTATCCACTGTGTAATTTTGCGTTAAACAATAAAAAGGTTATCCCCACCAAGACTTCATTCACTTCATATCGTCATAAAAACAATTTATTTAGAAGGTGCAGATTCGTGTTCTTGCTTTCAAGCTAAATTAAACTTGTAAGAATTAGTGATATTATTTTATTGCCTAAACTAAAGTAGGTGGGGTAAAGTTTGAAAATGGATATTAGTGACCAAAATGTGAACAGTTTAATCAGTTGTCTACCGCTCCACTCGGCATTTTCCACAAGCATAAATGATATATGATTCCTAAAGAAGATTACCTAAAAATGACAAACTATTTGTTACACCAAGAATTAATTCTTATTTGGTCGTTACAACTCACACAGAAAGAAAACGATTGCAGCATTAGTAAACAGAAGTTTTACTATACCAGTTAATTCCACACACACTGAAGGTATTATTTACATACAAATTGTTGACGAAAGATTTCGTGTTTACTTTTTACATAGCCAGTGAAAACATTTTCCGTGAAATTTAATGGACAAGATGTTGACGATTACTATCGAAAAAATCTCAAAAAATAACATTTAAGCATAATTTTTTAAAGAGAGCAAGAACAAAGGTTGGTGGAGTGTTGTTATCTTAAAGTGATGTAGCTCAAATTTAAATATTAATGATACCAATATCGTAACCATACAGACTTTTAGTGTATTAGAATATTAGAATGTCGAGATTGATAAACTTTATAGTTTAAGTCACTGTCTGAGTTTATTTAGACAACCGTTAAAAATCAGGGAAATGTCAGAAATATAATTTTCCCACTCATTGGGATATAGCAAAATTACATTTATCATTAACTTTCTCAGTCAGTCAGTCAGTCAGTAACAACGTAGAACTTCGTACGTACGTACATCAGTTCGAGTTGCCACACCACATTAGCACAGAGATGCACTTGTCGATTCAAATCCCGTAGTGGTAGAGGTAATAAGAGTATAAGCAGTAATCGGGAAGATTAGGGTTTGGAGATGTTATTTAAAGAGTATAATACAGTGAAAGAAATTTGGAAAGAGGAAAAAAGGGACATGAAGAATTCAGAAGATTAGAATTTGGGAGAACACAGAGAGTGGATGCACCTGCGCCATTGCAAACGGTTTTGAGCCGTCATTCAGGGTCTCTAACCATCGGTTGCTGTCATCTCGCGGTCCCCAACCAGGTAGTCTACACCTACCAACATGACTCAGTTCACTTGTCGGTGACTTCATGGACTTGTGCCATGTTTTGGTTTGGCTGCCCCTAGCTTTCTTCCAACCTACTCCTATACCACTGAACATAGCACGTCGAGGCAGTCGGTCGTTGGGCATACGTAACACGTGTCCCAGCCATCTCAACTGATGAAGTTTCACTACTTCATCAATTGATTTGCCATCCTTACCTAGTACCCGTTTCCTAACAACTGTGTTACTCGATGGTCCCATGATATACGAGCAATGTTTCGAAGACACCTATGATCAAATACTAGTAACCTACGGATATCCTCTACTCTTACCGGCCATGTTTCACTGCCATAAAGTAGGACGGAACGAACTGCTGCGCAGTAAACACGTCCTTTGGTTGATAGACGGATATCTCGCCTACGCCATAAATGGCGCAAGTTGGCAAAGGCTAGTCGAGCCTTCTGTATCCGTGCTGAGATTTCGTCACACACTAAACCACAAGGGCTGATGAGACTTCCAAGATAAGTGAAGCGGTCGACACACTCAACTACTTCACTCCCTATCACTAGTTCGGGTGTCGATGTAACCCAATCCTGAAGCAACATTTTGCATTTCGAGGGAGAGAATCGCATCCCGAACATGCTTGCATTGTTGCTTAGAGTGGTCAGAAGACTCTGCATTTTGTCAGCGTCTTCACTAAATAAAACTATGTCATCAGCATATTCTAAGTCAACAAGTGAACCTCCCGGTACAAGTTCAACCCCTGTATATTTAGATGAGGAGAGTGTTATCTCTAAAAGTACGTCAATGACAAAGTTGAACAAGAATGGGGAGAGTGGACAGCCCTGACGAACACCACTTGAGGTGATCAGTTCTGATGACAGTTCGCCATAAGCTCTCACTCTACCAGTTGTGTTCGAGTAGAGAGCCTTTATAAGGTTAAAGTACTTCTTTGGTACTCCTTTCAGTGACAAACACTGCCATAGAACCTCACGATCAATAGAGTCGAATGCCGCCTTAAGGTCGAGAAATACTACCATTGTGGGGCGTCTGAACGAGTGTCTGTGTTCTAGAACCTGACGTAGTGTGAATAACTGATCTATACAACCACGTCCAGGTCGAAAACCAGCCTGGTTTTCTCTAGTCTGCTCTTCACGAGCTTTAGTTTGGCGTCGAAGTATTATTGAGGCTAATATTTTAGACACTATATTAGTCAAACTGATTCCTCTGTGATTGTCACAAGAGGACTTTTGTCCTTTCTTATAGACTGGCACAATCAGTGATTGAGACCAGTCAGATGGGATTACGTCCAGTTCCCAAATTCTACCTAAGACCTCGGTTAATCTCATTGCTAATACTGGACCACCATCCTTAAAAATCTCAGGAGTAAACCTGTCAGGGCCTGCTGCTCTCCCTCGCTTCAGATTTCCTATCGCTTTTTCAACTTCGTAAAGGGACGGAGGACTTACATTAACTTCCCATTCAGGTTGACTGGAGATCGTGGGAAACCGAAGTGTGGCTGAAGGCCAGTTGAACTGATCCCTAAAGTGTTCTGCCCATCGATCCAATCTCCTGGATTGAGAATGAATAATATGTCCATCTTTCTCTGAGATTGTTTCGCTAACGGTCGGGTTCCTAATTCCGGTTTCCTTAACGAGTCTAAACAATTGTCTGCTATTACCTATTGCCGCTGCCTTTTCCATCTCTCTTGCTTTCGCTACCCACCACTTTTCGCGATCATTGCGTAGACTTCTTGTCAGCTTGCGCTTAAGCTGACTCCGCTCGTCATTATGTTCAGAGCCAGGTGGAATGTGTTTCCGAGCATTTATCAGTGAGATAGATGCTGCTGAGATCCAGTGTTGCTCCCTAACCTTCTGGTTTACCTTACTAGCAGATATCACTGCTGTTTCCACAGCTTTTCGGATATCATTCCATGCTGCATCGGGGTGGGCATCACATACATGGCTGCCTAACTGTTTTCCTAGTTGTTCCTGAAATATACTCTTAGCTTGACTATCATTAAGTAGGGCCCTAAGAGGTTTCCTTGCAGGATCTTTCCTACGTCCAGTAAGACGCAAGCAAATACGCGCTCGCACTAGAGCATGATCTGAATCTAGGCATGTGCTCCAGAATGAGCGACAGTCTTCTATCGAGCCCCTCCATCGGTGGCTGATAGCGATGTGATCTATTTGGGTCCAACGTTGGGACGAATTAGGGGGTCGCCATGTTAAAAGATGTTTTTCCTTATGCTTAAAGTTAGTATTTGCAAGGAACAGGCGGTTATCTGAGCATAGCTGCAACAGACGGTCGCCATTATCTGTTCTTTGAGCCACAACACCATAGGATCCACCTAGGTGTCTTTCCTTATCGCTTAGTTTACCTACTTGAGCATTAAAGTCACCGGCCACTATTACTACATCCGAGCGCTTAGCTTTTCGGAGAAGGTCCGAAAGCTTTCTGTAAAACTCATCTTTTACATCATCTGAGCTGCAGTCAGTGGGAGAATAGGCAGAGACGACGAAGAGGCAACGACGAGTGTCCCTATCTTTCCGGATTCTTACTGTTCCGTTCAGTCGGACAGCGCACAAACGACTGTTTACTGGGATCCACTCTAAGAGAGCTAGTTCTGCCCTAGGACTCAATGCTATACCTACGCCGGCGAGGCCACGGGAAGCAGAATCAGGGCTTCCAGATACACGAAGCGTAAATCGAGTCGGTTCTTTATTTTGGCATGGTGAGGTCAAATGAATGACGCCACTTGGATCCTGTAAGCGCGTTTCGGAGACGCAGCACACATCGATGGCGCGAGATTCTAAAGTTTCAGCTAAGGAAGCCTGCTGTCCTATTTGGCAAAGTGTTCGTACGTTAAAAGCTCCTACGTGTAGTTTAGAGCGTGGTTTCAGGAGACCAGGAATGGCGTTCCACGTACTCGAATCGTTTGCCCTAGCGGTGCGAGGTGATAAAGAGACGTGAGGAGGGTTAGTCGGGAGGATAAGAGAGGTATTAGGAGGTGTAGGAAGGATTTGAATGTGACCACCTTGGTCTCTTGTGCTGTTACGGGTATGAGGGCTGATGTCACTTCCCGGCTGCCCACACCGTGGAAGGGTACTTCTTGAGGAACCTGAAAAGGAAATCGGATTAGTGTTGGTCTTGAAGACCTGGGAGCGTGACCGCAGAGCCCAAGGGACAACTGCTTGAGCCCGGTCGCGCACGGCCTTTTTGTGGAAGGTTTTTGACGTGTTAGCTCCGTTCTTCAAGGGGCCTTACCGCCGGAGATGGAAATCCGTGAGGTAAGGTGAGGTGTGCATTTTTAGGGTCGACCTTTTCTAACCCCACCCCTCCTTGTGGGAAGGCAGCATCGCTGTCATGCTGGTTGTCCGAGGGAAACACCTTACTGCTGTCACACCTCTCTACAGTCAGCAGTACGACTTCGCCCTCAGACCTTGAGTTGCTGCTTTTAGTCTTACCGTTCGCCAATTGACCTGCCTGGCATGGTAGAACCTGCAGGAACATATGTTCCAGCCAATATAGCTCGGTTGGGTCATCAGGATAGGCAAGCCCGACCACCGCGTCAAGGTAGCAGCTTCGATCGGGCATTAACTTTCTACCCAATGTTCAATTTATATGAAATTGTAAAGATTGTTGAATTTCATCAAAATCATGAATTGCTTAGTGTTTCTTGACAGACAGTTCCCATTTAAACATTAAAAATTAAAAACACGAAGTTCAGAGAAGGGATCTCTTTTAAACGAATTTATTATCAAGCTGTACAATCGTGATCAAAGCAGTTAGGAGTTCTATACTTGAACACCTAATCGACTGTAAACATTCTACGGATCCACAGTTTGATTTTAAGGTTGTTTATATGATTCGTTTAACTCCTAAAAATAGCCGAACCTTTTACCATCCATGAGCTCAAATCAGAAATATGCGCACAAGAGAAGTACGTCTTAACGTTAGCGTTACCTTGACCTTAATTATTATTATTATTATTTGATCATTATTCCCCTTTACTTAAGTCTTATATTCTCATTATTTTAATCATAAATACTCATCATATCACATTATTTATTTTTATACCTCTATGACCTTTAATTATTGTGACAAAAACTTTTAATCATTTTAATCACCTTAATACATTCACTAAATCTATTGTTATTATTCGTATTACGTACGTATTATAATCTTCCTATTACATTATCTTGGTTATTTGTGCTCACATTTCTTCACGAAATTAGTACTTTAACAAAAAATTCTCATATCTATATACGATTGTAAAGCTTGATAATAAATTCGTTGAAAAGAGATCCCTTCGCTGAACTTCGTGTTTGTAATTTTTAATGATCAGTATTAGACAAGCATTAAAAACCTGAAAACACTAGAAGGCCGTTTAGTGTTAGTACGGGACTACTAAGAAGTGTGCATTCATGACCGTACACACGAAAAACGAACCAAATGATTTTCATTCTTAACCCCTAGGTGACTGAGACGGCATCCAAAGGTATGAATATATAAATTCAAACAATCCACGATATTGTGCGGCCATTGACCGGATTAAAATTCCTCTTGAAAGTCATTAGAAAATATTAATATTTGGATAGAAAAGTAAAAGATCTCATTGTCATTCTTTTCAGAAATCATATCACTAAATTATGACTAGTAGACAATTCACTTAAATTTTTTATCCGGAACAATATTGATAAAAGCGGAGAGTAAGTGAAGAGAAAAACGTTTTTTCATGAAGTACAAAAAGAAACAAACAAAAAATACAACTTACAGCTGGTGTTACGTTCAGTCGTTCTTTTTCCAAATCACCTTGTTCAAAAAATTCATTGGCAACCATTTCAGCTGTCTGTTTATTAATCAAAGTGAAAACAATACAAAACATCATAGGAATAATATTAAGAGGAAAAAAATACGATATATAAGACGGTTAAATGTAGAATAGAAAATGAAAGTATATATGCAAAGTTGATTACTAGTTGGACCATAGTTAGAAGAGTATATTTGGAAGACTCAGTGAATTGATATTTGTTAGGAGATTCAAATTAATATGAACTCTAGATGTGGGACTACGTGCTAATTCCCTCCACTATCTAGAAAGAAACTAAACGTGAAATGTTATGTCAAGCTATCTAATCCAAAGATCATATCGATAAATTGATAGATAAAATATGAATAGAACTATAACAGTGAATATTGCATAGTGACCAACTTGCATATATGTATATATATGTTTTAAATTTCTCGGTAAAAATTATGATCCTACGTACAGTTGTACTCATAATCATTTCTAATGAATCAGGATTAACTGATGAAGATATTTAACTTCGAATTGCCACATAGTGTCATCCTATTCTACTGTCAACATAGTTGGTTTTATTCATTAGAGCGTCGCAGTGGAAAATAAGGCAGTACACATCGAAAGGAATTAATGATGAGCAAGCAAATGCTTAGCTAAAAGCGCGGCTGAATAGCTATTTCTAACCTAATTTTATGAAAAATATGTAAAAAGAGAACAAGTACATAATTTCTAAACTAGTAATGTGTTTAGGAATTTCGAAGTAAACATTAGTACATTTAGAAGGAATTTACAAATTAAAATTAGGTGAAACTAGATTATATTCATCGTAATCACACGGATCAGTAATCGGATATTAAAATGACGAAGACAGTAAGAGCTATCTAGCTATTATAACAGTAAACATTTTCAAAATTAATTGATTACTTCAACACGACAAGAATTAAAAGTATACACACACAATATATACACTTACCAATTTTTGTACCGGCCATGGTTTTGTTATGGCTGAAACATCACAAGCTGTCATAAACATACAACCAAGTAATAAACGTTGTTCGCGATCATTTCGCCATAAATTTGTAGAATGATCATTAATTTCTTTCAAATTATGCAAAGTTTGTTGAAATTTCGGTAGTCTAGCAAAATATCTTGATAGATCCGTAGCCAATATAGCTTCTCTAATTAATTTCACAACAGTATCATATTCTGATCTGTTTAGATTGCATAAAAAGTTATTACCCTAATAAAAAACCATGCAACAGGATTGTAATTACTGCAAATTTGTAAAACTATTTTTATTATGAATAGAACAATAGTCACTTTGGTATCTACTTCATAATAGAGTATTTGGATATAGATATTGCATTACATAACTATATCGTTACCTATTTTAGAAAGACGAAAGTCGGTTAATTATAAACAACATAAAATATGATCCAAATGGATCTATATCTGTGGTCATTTCCGAGTCATTTCTTCGGTCACCTAATAGGACCAAACAAACGGTCTACACATGTCAATATACACGGTTCACGTAAACAACAGATAAATTTACGAAATCAAGTCATGTACTTAAATAGGCACATCTAGGGTCATTTAAACTTACTCTATAAATAACTGTCAAATTAGACAGTTGCTGAACATCTATAACACAACTTCTAGCTTCTTTAGTCAGTGGACGTTCAGAATATCACCAAATAATCTTGCCAAATTTACTTAGAACTTTATTCGTAACATTAAAGTTGCCTACTTGATGGTTACATCATAAACACACAATAAGTCAAAAGCCTTTATGATCGAATTACAATCAAAAGACCACAATTCATAGCTATAAAAATACATAATGAAATAACTGAATGGTAGATAGAAACAAAACCACATGTTTTTCGAAAGGTTTGTTTCATTATTTAACCAACTGGCTTTGAATCAAATAATGGTCTGTCTTCACCTGTAATAGTCAAGTTATATATAACAATTTTATCGCCACATCTTATTGACAAATTGTCTATCATCACTAACTTCTATCGACGTCTACCACTGTTATTGATACGTTTACAGAGTTTAAGTCAATCTACATTCGATAGGGATTTAAACCATAATTTGGTTAAGCTCGTAACAGGATATTTATTTAATCTTTTCTTAATATTTTGTTGATAGTTATTAGTGGTCAGAATAAAAAACCACTATTTGATTTAATAAGTGACTAGCAGTTTCTTGTCTTAAATAAATGTAATGATCAATTCGAATTGTGACTATATTTAAGCAACTTACAGCTTTCCCTACAACTTACCCACTTATAACATTCCAACGTATGTAACGGTAACAGTGTGTACTCATTCTTTTATAATGGTACTCACTAGGAAACCGAGTATAAAAATGATTAATCTTATTGATTTGTATGTTTAAACAGTGCTAACAGAATAGCGTTATCATGTACATAACCCACTAATAAGTAAATAGATTATTCTTTTTTCGCCAACAACAAATTTACACACACAAAGGACTTTTAATGTGTCCTGCCAGTGACAGCTAGCAAGAATATGACTTAAGTTAGAAAAAAAATCTTTTGTTAAGAGCACTTAAATAAAACTTTGACTATCATAGAGATAATTTTCATAATCGACAGATGGGAAGCAATCGGATGAAATCCACGCGGTTTTACAGTATGGATCAGCCATAACCTTTAAAGCCAACCATTTCATAAGTGAAACATTAATCAACGGTATTGCATGATCGCTGACTTCTACCACGAATCGATGACAGGTTCGAACCATTGACTCGTTGGTCATAAAGGTATATTCCTCGCTACAAGCTTTGCATTTGCGAAGTTCTTCCTTGTATGCAGTAGTCGGCAGATATTACTGACAAATATCATTATTACGGTTATACAGTACTCGTTGATCTCCAATAATATATCGGCTAATATCAATTTATAATGGGAAAGCATTTCCGGAAACATAATATCATAAAAATTAACATGGACTGGAAAAATTAATCGACTAACCTTTATGGTTAGTATCATCATGAACTGATTGAAATGGTGATGTTCAAGAACCGATGTAGAATATAGTTTAGCTAATGGAGACATTGTTTTAATTTGAAACTGATTATCTGTACCACGATGATCGATATCATGAGATAGACAAGCAGTTAACAACGCTAAACACTCAAGATCTGTAAATACTGACTGAAAATCACCTTTCTGAAAGGAAAAAAAGAGATAAGACAGTTCGATGCAGAGAAGGAAGGAGGTAGAAAACAGAGGAGAAACAAATGAGATGAAACAATGATTGACAATAATACCAAATAATAATAATAAAGTATTGGTAGTAGTAATAATAGTAGTAGTAGTAGTCTCGTAATTCATTAAATAAAATAAATTATACACGTATATATACGTCATATTTTATGCTTGAAATGAGCCTTTCTCCCTTCTTTCCGTTTTGAGAAAAAAATAAACAGAAATTATGTTTTGACGCTAGAACAGTCAGTCAATCACGCAAACTATGTATATATATGTATACATATAAGGAAAGAAAAACAAACTTAACAACAAATATTTCTAGACATTGATCAGATTTTCTTCCTTTTTTATTCAAAACCTTTCATTCAACAATAATTGGTATTAATTATATATATATGAAAGTAGCGAGGGAGAAGTTGAAGTTAATATTGCATGGTTGATTAATGATTTAGACGTTGCTAATCAATTCCCTTATTATTCTTTTTCATTCTCTCATCTTTATGAAGATTGTCTTTAAATATAGACAGTGCGCGACTGATTTTATTTTGAAGTACCATTGAACAATGCTTCAGGCTAATTGGAATCAATAACACATTTATGATAGCAGAATGTTTCAGACATATAAACTTTACTTCTCCTCCATCCCTTTTTTCACAGTAAAACATCAGAATACCGTTCAGTAAACTGTAAAATAATTCAAAAGTTAATCAGTATTAATAAGGAAATACCACTCAATTCATAGAAACTAGATTTATGTATCACTTAAGACTTACTATTATCTATGGTTACGGTAGGTGTTAGGTGACATAACTAAGGAGATTTCATTGTGATTCTGAGAAAAATCTTTCAGTGCCTACTTCATATAAGAAGCAGTGGCTCAATTAATTCAATCTAAAATTAATTTTGATTTATTTTGTTTACAATTTATCTTAAATTATAACACGAAACAGGCTATAGCTTTTACTCACAAAAAATAGAAACTTAGATCAGCAGTGCAATCGAAAAAAGAAAAAACACTTGTAAATGCAGATAATACATAGGTAAGTTAAAAAATGATCTATTTAATCTAGACGCAATTACAAAAAAGAAAGTGTTATATGATGCGTTGAACAATTGAAAAAAGGCATTCTGTAATGTTGACATTTTAATGACTTAAACTTAAATCTAAATTAAGTATAAGAAAAAACTGATCAAAAACAAAATAAGAAATGAGAAATTTCAGTCACAAACTTCAAAAAAAATTATATTGGTCAAGAAAAAGATAACGGTATTGAAAACCTTTTTAATCCCTTACAAAATATTGACGAAGATTTACATAGAATGGATGGAATATGGCTGACAGTGGAATCTGTTCTATTTGAGGCTCGTCAGATGAGTATACTTGCATCCCTATGTTGATGTCCACTATACGACTTGAACCCAATACCTTTCGTTTTCAACCCCATCAGTATGAACAACCATTGCAAAATCAAACTTGTTGACGGAGATATTCAAGAACATATTTCACTTTGAGGAGTAGTTCATATACTTTTGAAGACTTTCACAGAACCAGCTAGGTGACAAATATACATGGCTGTAAAAAAACCAATAGTACATATCAATAAAGGTTTTACTTAGTTCCCTTTTATAAGCAGGGATTAGCCGCTTGAATACAAAGTTGTCATTCATATCTTCATCATAGATTGAAACATTAGAAAAAACTGAATTTTCACGAATGATCATAGTATCTGACTTCCTGCCCTCTATACTGAGATGCAAATGATATTTATAGTCAATTTAGTTAAACAATCCATCTACGCATCGTCAGCAGGTGAATTTAATATTTTTTTCATAAAGATTCATCTTGACAATAATATACATAAATTCTATGAGCAAAACATTAAAATCCAGTATACCGATGTCACGAAAAATGTTTAAGTGAATATCTATGCTAATTAGCATTTAAAGAATTTAATGAGTAAATTTTATCTACTAGCCAACAATGCAAAATAAGCACATGTAGTGAAAATTTCATGAGATCATATACAGTCACAAATTGGCTAATGATATAAGTATTTATATGTTTGTGTGTCACGTAACTTAATCATTTTGCGACTCGGTGTAAGCTCATGCAATGATTCATATAGATTGATCGATTCCACAATCTATTCAATACCAACCTATCTTCGTACATCTCATTTCGTTGGTCTGATATACAAGTGTTTTAAATATATGTATCCTTAACACTTTCATGCTTGAATATTCTTGATATTACCGCTCTTAAAAACGTATCAAGTCGAAAGAATAGATTAGGATTTAAATGGGATCTATATTTTACCGGAGACACGGAATTCAATACATCTATCGAATCCGAAGAAAATGAACCAGCCTATCTTTAGTGCCCCGAGATCTGACTGCAGATAAGTCCTATGTATGATTGTTATTGCAAGACTGCTGTCAAAATATACATCCTGGCTACGTTCGTATTTAATTATCGACTTATATCGCATTAGTAAATATCGGGATTAAATAAGTCATATACGAGAATGGATTTCGAGTACGTGTATTTTATACAGTCACTAATACAGACAAACGATCGAAGAAACGAAGCAAAGAAAGCGAAGATAAAGGAGAGAAGTGAAATTGTAGTGGAGGAGAAGTATCAGTAAATTGCCTCAGACTTTATTGCCCCTTCGTTTCCACACCAATCATTCTATGTTCTCGTTCTCTTTCCTTCGATCTTCTTAACATTCTGCCACCAAACATTTCACTTTCGAATGGTGACATATACTAATTATATCTGTCGACATTGATAGCACACACCACAAGACGATGCGCAAGTGGGGAAGGCTTGTGAGCCAACTCAGATTGATCAAGCATGAATCGATATTTACAGTGAGACAAAAATAAGCTACGGACGTGATGAGTAAGATAAGAAGTGCACACGCATACGCTCATATAAAAACAGTCAAGGTTGATAAACGAATAACTAACAAGGTCAAAATATGACTCAAGATGGATGAATAAATTGGCTTGTGCGGAAGCTACAATAAGCTATGTGAGCTTATCATAGCAACCGACACTACGTATCACAATTTTGACGCACAAATATAATACACCTAGTTCCAAAGTTGAAAAAGAAAACATAACGCGACCCCTCCCCACGGAGTCACATTCTGACGTTATCAGCCTACAGGCATCTATTCTTCAAAATCAACATAACATACTACAAAACAACTATATTTAATAGTCTACTTTTCACTGTTTTTACACGAATGCATGGAACGATGAAGAAACATAAAGGGTTCTTTACAGTGGTTACATATAATAACTATGGTTGTGTTAAAGAAATTCATGGTAATGATACTGTTAATTAATTTTAGAAATGTTATTGAATATTGATGAGCAGTCGAGAAAACTTTCCTAACATTAGTTTATTTTTTACAAGCGTTCATTGAAAAGATACCTTGACAATTTTCATGAAATATTTCGTCCGCTTCAGGTCTTTAAATGTTGTTAAATATAACTTCAATTATTATTGAGTAATGAGTTAAAGGGTATATAAAAACTAATTTTTACAATTACAGACAATATTGTCTGTTTGATTCCCTCAAGTGAATCCAAACAAAAAACTACAAGCTTTCATTAAACTTGAATAAAAGGTAATAGTGGAATCCAAAACACGTGTTTTATTTTGTTTATGACTCGTCAGTTGAATGTGACTGTATCCCAATGCTAATATTCAACACTAAGATTCAAGAATCATGTGCATTTAGCTTCAAAAATCAAAGTGTTATCCATTGAGCGATCAAAACTGAGAAATCTACATTAATAAATACATTTTTACATGAAAAGCTAACTTAGAGGATTAGGCAGAGCATCATCTATCAATAGATTATAGTTTTAATTAACTATAAATTAACAAAATGAAGTTTAACTTTATAGTTTTAAAGATGTCCAATATTTTATCAACTCACAAAACATTTATGACGTACATATATATTCAGTCAGTCAATCAGTCAGCTACAACGTAGGACCAGGCACATATGTGCATCGGTCCAGGTTGCCATACCTCGTTAGCACAGCAAGATGAACACCGGATTCATAGGAGTGGTTAGGTCAAAGGTGGTAATATATAGGAGAAAGATTGCATATAAGGATATAGTATAGGAAGAAAGAATTAGTTCGTAGAAAGAAAGATATGAAGTGATTTTAATCTCTTAGTTTAAGGGAAGACAGGTAGTGTATACACCTACGCCATTGTGATCGATTCTGAGCCATATCACCAAGAGTCTCCAACCATTGGTTACGATAGCCACGCTGACCCCAACCAAGTAGTCTGCATCTACCAACATGGCTCAGACTAGAAGTTAGTGACTTCAACCACTGATGCCACGTTTTGGTTTGGCCGCCCCTAACTTTCTTTCGACCATCCCGAACAGGGGTTAGCATTGCACGTCGTGGTAATCGGTGTTCGGGCATACGTAATACGTGGACCAACCATCTCAGTTGATGAAGATTCACAACCTCATCAACTCATTTACCATCATTCCCTAATACTCTGCGTCTAACCTCCCTATTACTTACCCGGTGATCCCAACAGACGCCAGCAATATTTCTAAGGCATCTGTGGTCAAATACTAGTAGCTTACGAGTGTCTTCTACTTTTAATGGCCATGTTTCGCAGCCGTAGATTAAAACAGAACGGACTGCCGCACAGTATACTCGTCCTTTTATTGATAGACGGATATCTCGCCTTCGCGATAGGTGACGTAAGTTGGCAAAAGCCAAGCGAGCTTTTCAAGTCCGTGCTGAGATTTCGTCAGACACCAACCCATTAAGTCTGATCGGACTTCCAAGATAAGTGAAGTTGTCAACGCGTTCGACTACTTCACTCCCTATCCTTAGTTCAGGTGTTAACGCAGACCAGTCCTGAAGCAACAACTTGCATTTAGAGGGAGAGAAGCGCATTCCAAACGTCCTGGCATTGTTGCTCAGTGCTACCAGAAGACTCTGCATTTTGTCAGCGTCTTCACCAAACAGGACTATATCATCTGCGTATTCTAAGTCGATAAGTGGACCTCCTGGAAGGAGATCAATACCCGAGAATTCAGTAGAAGAGAATGTTATTTCCATCAATAGGTCTATGATGAAGTTAAACAAAAATGGAGAAAGTGGACAGCCTTGACGGACACCGCTTGAGGTTGCAAAAGTAGATGACAGTTCGCCATAAGCCCTGACTCGACTAGTAGTGTTCGAGTAAAGAGCCTTTACAAGGTTTATGTACTTCTGGGGTACGCCTTTCAATGACAGACACTGCCACAGAATCTCGCGGTCTACAGAATCAAATGCTGCTTTTAAGTCAAGAAAGACCACCATTGTCGGATGCCGATAAGTATGCCTGCGTTCTAGATACATATATATTGTCCATAATCAAATATTATAAGTGGATGAATTACAATTAAATTAAAAGTTTACTTTGCTTATGACGTAAAAAATAAATACTGGTCATAAAAGAAAAGAACTCGAAAAAGAAAATGTTGAAAAGAAAAAGATTTTCCTTGCATATAAACGTCACTACTTTCATTTACAACGAATTGTTAGAAATAAAATAAGTAATTGAAAGAAATTATTTTCATTTTGATGAAAACAAAAATACACGCTTAGAACAATTAGATTATTAAATGTGTTGGTAATCATCTAAAATGGTTTTGAAAAAAGATAATAATAAGTGGTAATGTAATAATTCAAATTGTAAAGTCATTTGACATCATAAATTGACTTTAAATGAACGAACATTAAAGCAATTCATGATGAAACGACATGGTGATATGGAGTTATCAGGCTTTTAATAGCTGTCTAACTAAAGCCTTTCTTTAATGAGTACTAAAGATTGAAAAATATGCACAATCCTACTACTCTAATAATAAGTGATTGACTAACTAGCGAATAGGCTTGACAATAATTCTTGGAACTCTAATGAGAGATCGAAACGCATGCAGTTCAACAATGATGAAGGATTTCACCGATGATATTGTATGATTGCAGCGTAAAATCGTTCATGGGTTGAAGTTGAAAAAGTGGGAAATGGGATACCAACCAAGTGGTCTCAAGTTAACGCCCTGATTACGACAACTCAAATGCCTTAGGCTAGATCTCTAGTGATATCATAAGTGCTCACTACAATGAAATCAGATTCTAAGATGAAACAGCTATTTGATGTTTCTTGGTTTTAAATGGTTGTTTAGCTGAAATCAGTCTATAGAGTATACTAACCACGGATTGAACAATATTCACAAACTTAACATATTAACTAACTTTTACTGATTAAAATACTAACATGATATAAATAGATAGAATTTGATGTGACTTAATAATATAGCAAAATAAGTCCATATGTAATTCAATTTAACACTAAACACAGATTTATTCTTTTTAATATTTTAGCCCTTACCAATCCGAAAAACAAATCTTTTTCTGAAAGATTCATTGAGAACATCGAAAGAAAATTGATTTAAATAAACAGTTTTGTTGTTCATAAATATACTTTACGATATCCTTGTAAAGAGAGCAAAACACTCAAAATAACCAAACATAACGAACCAGCAATATTAAAAAAATTGTTTTGCCTGTGGGGAAAGATGTTTGCTCAGGAGAATTCTCGATAGATTAAGATGAAAATCTAAATTCGTGAAGAAATTCCATAAAATTGTGAATGAAATATTATAAGTATGTCCCAAACTGAAGATGATCAAATTCATACTGAGATAGTTAAACAACAATGATATTGAATAATGAAACATTAACTTGACTAAAGTTTGCTCCGATCAAGTGATTTACCTGTATCACCTATTTTGAAAGAAATGAAAATCCGATGTTTATTAAATAGTGAAAAGAACAAGATATAAAATAGGTAGAACTCGTCGTTCACAGCTTGATAGTTCCAAAAATATTTCTCTTAGTAATACACAAGTGATTGATCACCAAGTGATGATCAATGATATGTATGCCTACTCCTTTAGTATTACTCGAATTCTATCGATCAAGTTGTAATGAGACCACTAATCTAAATGACTCGACAGAGCATGCAGAATTTTGAGATGTAAGGAAACCTTGGACCTGGGTACGGCCGCTAAGCAAGTAGCCTAATGATAACGTCTCAAACTGTGAAGCTGGATGACGCGTGTTTAAATCTTTCAGAAGGCATCAGTTTCATCAAGATTGCAAGTACATCTTAATGACAATTGCAAACTATATTACGGAACATATGTTTAGCTTTTTATGTTGACAACTACCAACAATAGGCTAAAGACAGTAAAGTCTTTATGTTTACATTAGCATTATAGATCTTGAGAAAATGGAAAAATGCAGCGCAGTTGAGCGCTACAGTTAACTACAATAGCGTTTTGAACGTTAAGATTATTATCGACTGAGCCAAGATGGAGTACAAACTTTCCTGAACGTCAAAAGTAACTTTAAACAATAGATCCACATTTATACTAACTAATCAAAGAATAGTTACCAATGTCATATTGTCTAGTTTTTAGTATTTATTGAGTGTTAATAATCGATTTGCAATGTGACCATTAATTTATGTGACTCAACATCATAGTTTAGTTCGTTTGATATTGGGTGATGCTAGAGTTAACCGATGCAAATTCTCCATTAATTAGTACAATAAGTTTCTGGTGATTACAAAACTTCATAGTTTATGACAGGAACTAAGCATATTTATTAAAAACGATGGAGTATTGCGCCTTTTAGGACATTTTATTAAAGAAATTCTGTGATCAGAAATTAATCAAAGCAATATGCAGGATAACAGCTTCTTTACAGAACTCTTTAGTCATTAAGCTTGCACCCTAGCTATCATTCAAGAGTGACGGTTGCTGGATATCGGTCGCCAGAGGCGTCTCGCACCAAAGCGTTGCGGCCTACGTGTCACATACTAAATAATATGATGAGCGTGCTACATCCAGATGCGAGTCATGGATTTAGATAGAATGGTAGAGCTACAGACATGGCTCAAGCGATCACCATCCTCTCCGGGCAGACACAGTGGGGCCCATCGACGAGACTATCCCCCAAGATTCGACCATAAATACTGACGCCGCGTAGTGCTCTTGAGTTAACACTATATTGTGCCTCCCTATGGGAATCATGAAATTTCAAATCGAAGTTATGTTGTAGGGGATAAGAGCTTTTAAACACCACTATTCGGTCATTGTGTTCAAACCTTAGTTAACACAATCTCTATCTATCAAAATACCTACTTTTAAAATGTTTTTGTATGAAACTTTACATAGCCTACATGAGACATAACATTCATTGGTCGAATAACAGTAGGTGTCTTTAGAAATTTTAAAGCAAATGGTTTAGTGGTTTGTTCACATTTCAACAAGTAATATATATACATAATTTGAAGGTTACGTATCCGACTCCACAGATAATCGATGGTGAATACATTTAAAAACCATAAAACTAGTAGTGTGACGATTACTTATAAACAACACTGAATGATAATTAATTAATATATAACAAATTTAATAGTTGTATTCATGAATCAATTTAAGCTAGACCACCATCGAAAACATGGAGTTACTGGACGGTCATTTCTTCTTAACATGGGACTCCTCAGCAGTGTGCACCGACGACCCCGCCTGTGGGACTCGAACCAGGGACCTGTCGGCCTCGCACGCAAACGCCTAACTTCTAGGCCACGTAGCCGGCACCCAACAGTGTTAATGTTTAACTTCAATCAATACACGAAATTGCACCACCTCTAACCATTGTCTTCAGTGAGTAACTGCCTCACAACAAACACGGTTGAACTCCACTGGTCACAGCTTCTCACGAGAACTTCAGGAAATATATCTTGAAGCCATTTACTAGTGAGCACATGATTATTATTAGCAGAATGGGAGTTTGATTGTAGTTCCAAGATTAAATCTTGTATACGTTTTTAAGTATGGAGTTTTTCGAAGATCCGATCATTATCAAAATATTACCAGGGATATAGATTTATATACTTGTCTTAGAGCCAGAAATTAAGTGTGAGTGCTAATGATACTACATTGAAGTTGCTGAAGCTGATTTTGAACTGATAACTTTGAGATTGAAAGTTAAGCAAACTAACCAATGTGTTATCGCTTCACAAATACAAACTAGTTGTTAACGCATGTGTTACTCTAAAACTGAAATCAGTCCACTATGAAAATATTCCAAATAATATAATTTTTTTTACTGAAAACGCTAATATGATACTTTATCTACGACAGAAAATTGGAAGAAAGATGGGAAAAGACGCCAGAGAAAAGTATTTTTGGAGAAAATGACCCACATATGAACATGTAAAAACAAGCATATAAACTTAAGACATCTGCTTGAATACATATAAAATATGCATACATACATAAAAACCGAACACATGTGTATAAATACATGTGTAAAGTAAATTTATGACATAGAGTATAAGAATAAGCATGTATTACTTACTAGTAATATGCAAAACATTGTCTGAGTCACATTGAATGCATGACGCCAATTGTGATAAGTAACTTCACGATAATTTTTACGTACAGATAATAGCCAACGAGCAAATGATAACTGATCGAAATGTATTGATTTCATAAAATTCATTTCCTGAAACATTCGTATACATGCTTTCAGAGTATCTTCATCTGATAATCTATATATTTCGTGTGTTTTTTTAAATTAAAAAAGCAGTGAAACAATAAAAGTATTTTTTTAATAAATATAAGTTACAATATCTAATCTAAAAACCATTGAAATATTCTATTCTTAGAGATGGTAGTATTCATTGTGTTTATAATTCAGGAAGATATTAAAACAATGCGACAATACACTACAAAGTCGATTTGGGGAAAATTTCAAAATATGAAAATAATCTGAATAATGAACAATGGTAAATAAAAATTAATTAGAATTGTATTAGACGGTTTATACGTGTCGTACTCGCTTTAAGGCTCCTACATCTGCAGGTCGATCCCGTATAAGTTGGCGGATGCACCGTTATGAGAAATCTCAAATAGGAAGAAAACAATTATAAGATAAATCAGTTCTCAATGGTTCTCCAAGTAATGATAACTCGTAAAAAAAATATATACTGAGTCTAACTTCGATTCAAAACTGGTTTCCTCCATGATAATGTAGATATACACAATTATTTTTGAGAGCATTTTCGAAATAAATTGAGAAGTCATTCTGGTAGGACTTAAACATAATCAGTAATTGATTAAAGACCGTTCAAGTTTGGTCAAAGAATATTACCACCTCAGTTTAAAAGCAATTACAAGACTAGTTATGAATCAGAAGATACTACAATTTGTTGAGTATTTAATCCCTTCATGAAGTATATACTTGTAAAAATGAGTGGATTATAGCTAACAACTAACTGACAAAGAACACAATGGAAATTGTTTTAAATACAGCATCAAAACTATCGAAAACATTTAATTTATCCAATATTTGAATAACATTGAGGACATGAGCTTATTACATGGAAAACATTTCCTGAAGATTGATAGAAATCTGAAAGTAAAATAAAGTAAAGGGTCCTGACCAACGATCTTTACATGAACAGTTATAGCAGACATATATCACATTGATGAAGTTGAAAATGAATATCAGTCTTAATGTAGCGTAAATGCATATGAAACTCAGATTCGTAAAATCAAAACCATCGCATTCATACCTGTTTCACAAGAGAATGACTATCTGGACTCCGTAGGTCAGTAAATAACGTACTGGGTGTCTAAAATGTAAGGTACCGTGCAACAGTTTTAGCGCGAACATCAACATGATAGAACGGCTGCATAAAAATATTTTTGTTTTCACGGTATACTACTACTGTAATATGATAACACGACCTCTGACTCAGATTATTCTAACACAAGACTAGATACTCGATCAAAACGCCATAAACGAACTGGATCACGTTGAACCAGATACACGATATATGACTAAATATAAATAATCAGAGGTTAGGCAAGGAAATACTTAATCTAGCACGCTTATAAACGGTTTACACTCAATGGGCGCAGAATAGAAACCAAACATAGGAAAAAATCATATATTGATCAGTCAGAAAGATAAATGTTTGTCAGTTCACATCAGAATACAGACATCTCTAATTGATGAGCTGCCAGTCTATTTTACTTCACAGACTTTTTTATCCCTTCCGAGGTTTTGCGTTATTGAAACAATTGATACGATGTCAATAGGCTTGTTCAATAAAAAAAGCCATGACCAGTGGAGCCCGATCAACGTTGGAGGCGAAATAGTTATCCGCCTCAGGCAATAGATCAAGGGTTGAGCAAGATCATAGACTGATTGAAGTTAGACATCAATACAGTTGGGTTCCGGCTCAGTGATCGCGAGGCTAAGCATTCGCGTAAAGGACGTAGGTTCGAGGTTTACGTGCGGGATCGCGGATACGCACAACTGACTCTCAGATTAGGACGAAACGGCCGTCCAGTGATTCCAAGTTTTCAATGGTGGTCTAACACTGATCGGTTCGTGATTTCAATGAAACTAAACAACCTCCATAATCCCTAAAAGATAGAAATAGTTCTGAAAAAAATGTATCAACAACCTACCGTACATCAGTAAATGAAAATTTATCTAAATGATAAAATCTCATAGTCGGTATTAGTGATGTAGCTAGGCGTTTAGCCTCAGATGTCGGCGCTGTAGCATGATATGACAGAACATCCATGATAACTTTTTGTTTTGCTGCACTTCTTATAGCTCTTTCATACAGTTGACTATTTGAAATACCCAAACCAACAAATAAAGCAAATGCTTCAAATAAAAATTCATCCGAATAAGTAAATATTCCAGACCAATTGTTAATTGATGAAGACATCATAATGGGTTCTTTAGATGATAAATTATCATTTGATGAATATTGAATACTATCTGTAACTGGTTTGAAATCAAATTGATGCTTGACTTGTTGACTGAAATTATTATTATTGATTCTCAAATCAACAGTTGATTTATTTGTTATTATGCATACAGCTAATACTTTACCATCGGAATGTTTAATTGGCATACAGAGAACAGAACGACTTCTCCAAACTGGATCTAAATCTTCTTCAAGCTAATTTATTGCATATGTTGTTTGGTATAGTTTTGAGGGAAGGAAAAGAGAAAACGACAACAGATGTGAGGAAAGACGGTTGTGTAATAGTAGAATTTTATATAATCCTATGAATGAGACTGTTGAATTTTATAGTTTACATTACGAACTGATTGTAGTTACACAAACTTTGAAAGCCAGCATAGGATTTCTCAGCAGTACACATTTACGAACTAACTACCTGAAGTCTTGCGCGTGAGCACTTAACCTCTAGACCAACTCGTAATGTTGTATAGTCATCTTCTATTTCCATCAATGAGCAACTGTCCCAGACCTGAAATGGTTGAAGTTTACCGGTCATCGATATCTAATGCTACCTGGTTTCCAATGGTTGCCTTTTGAAGTCAGTTTATGATGTCAACTACAAAAATCCAATAATCGCCACCCGTACACACCAACAAGTAGCCATATTGTCAAATAGTTTGATCTCTGTTTATCATCTTTCAAATAAATAAAAGTCAACAATTCTTCTCTCAATATTCCATTAAAAAGGAAAACAAACAAAACATTATGTTGCTCTCTTCTCTGTATATTTATATTACAAAAAACCAACTCAATCAAGCAGGTCAAAATCAGATGATGATGGATAACCATTATCAGTCATCATCATCATCATTATATCTATGACTAATATCAACTAGCAAGTTGAAGTAAACAAGGAGGAATAACCCTAACAAAGATTGGTATTTTTTTATGATAAAGACTTACCGTTTTGTCAATTTTCCTATATTCATTATTATTATTATTGTTATTGTTATTCGAACTAGTAGTGGTACCATTTATATTGACATGAAGAGACTAAATTAGGAAATAAAAAAACACAAATACACACATATACATGTACAAACATATTTATACAAATAAACAATAAAGCATAGAAGAGAATCGACAAACATAGAAATAAGTATACAGATACATATATTGGCGTAAGAGTGGAACTCGAAGCAGATTGACGATAAAAATGGAACTACAATTATTATCAATGTTATTATGCGACTGCGATGATGATATTCAGTGGACTACTACTACTAGTGATTCCATTCCATCAATCATCAGCAGTGCGCCTTGATCAGATTTGTTGTTAAACTTTGACTGTAAAATGCAATGTAACTTGGATAGGGATAGAGAATCAAAACTGAGGGAGAATATATTATAGGGAGAACATGAAGCAATATAACTAGGAGAGAAAAAAATTAATATGTTCATAATTGGAATGATTTGTGTTAATTATTGTTGTTTTCCTAATAATAGTAAGAATAACAGTAGTAACGACAGTGAAACTGGAGATTACTGCATTTGGACATTACACTACATAAAACATTGAACATTGATAGAATAAAAACTAAATACAACATCAGCAAATTTAAGTTTAATAACCGGTCACCGGATATAGAATTTTACGGTATGTTAACTGAGTAGAAAAATTGTTAAAGATTACCTGTTTTTGAAAAATCGATTGTATCATTTATTAGATTATATGGTAGTAGTAGTAGTAGTATGTGTTTAGAGGTAACCTGCAGGAAGCTTTTGAATTAAGGTGGAATTCGTTAAAAATATGTATCTTCAATCTCGAACAAAAGAGATATTTTCAATATAGAGCAGATAGAGTGTAGCAAGCAGTGGAATCCAGGACGCGCGTTTCGTTCAATTCGGAAAGTGTATTTATTTATTTAAACACATAGACAATGGTACAAGGAGGCAACAAAAATATATGCGCCGCACAAAGTAGTTATCATTCAATTTTGTGTATGGGCTGGAACACTGTCCGGGTACTGAAACCTAAACAGGTGATCTCCTTACAGGACCATTCCTGGAGCCTTTGACATAGAGGTTTAATCCACAAGACAGTGGAGTAACGTTAGGAGGTGTGATCTCATGGCGGCCGGTAACCAACGATAGGTCCATACACCATTTGCTTCCTCACGACTCTGGAACACATGTACAATAATAGTTTGGAATCAGGGTTTTCAAATTCCCCTCAGCGAATCCTCCATACTCACCAACCCAGTTAAATCGCCAGATATTTGCTTCTCGTTATCTCAATTTCGTAAGCAACACCCTCGTGGTGAGAATCACTTTTAAATTGTACACAATCTCAACACAAACATTACGCTTATTGATGACTAGCTCTGAGATCCATTTCGAGATATTCTAGTCAGTAGCTATGACAAAAGAAACAAGCCAACTTGAGAATAAAGTACCAGCTTATTCATGATATTAAACAAGTGTTGCACCGTATCACAAAAACAGTACAATTGAATATCTAAACTATTGGATTGTAACTAAATAGTTTGAAGGTATTATCCTCCCCATGAACTCTCATAATCCAACAACTAAATCCGGAAACTTAGTCGAAAAGTTTACCAGGGCTACACGGTTTAGGATAGTTCTCCAGTTGATGCCATTTACTGAGATGAAAACAACTATCAAGTTAAACATAATCTTCACAATATTATTTTATTAATAATTTCATTGTTCGTGTTGTTGACATTAACTGAGACAAAAGAAAACAATTACTCAAACTAAATGATGAAAATCGTTCAATGGAAGAAAAATTACAATTGTTTCAACTCACTTCACCAGTTTGTAATACGTGAATAGCCAAATCTAACTGAACAGGGAATCGAGCTTCGTCGATACTTTGGATGCAAGAAAAATATATAAATATATTTATATAAGTTATAACCTATGTATATTATTGTATTATTATTACCCATTAATTAATTAACTTGAGAAAACCAGTCAAGAAAAATTGGCAGTGATAAACAGTGAAAACTGGAATAAAGTCATCTATAATAAACTGTGAATTTTAGTTAAATATTCCTTATTCATGTAGAGGTGGCGCCAGTCCATAAAGAAACTGAATGATGGACTGAACCGTATATTGGTAAGTGCAGATTACATGGTTCATGTTTTTGCGATTATCTTGACCAATTAGGTAGCACGGCTCATAATCGTTCACAATAACCCAAATCCCTCCTATCATAGTTCTCCCTTAGATTCTCGAGTTTCGAAATAATTTTTTAAGTTTTATTCCGCAAATCGATTACTTCCACTTAAATGAAATCGTTTATGTTTCATCTCTTCTGTTGATATTGCTAATTTTACTACTTCTACTACTCTGGCATTTGTCTTGATAGTTTCATCTCATTATGTTGATATAGTGTGGAAACCGGGACCGATGATGCACACATGAGATAGGTTCTACGTTGCGTATGACTAACTTTTCAAATCATACTTTTAATTGAGTTTCAGCCAGAGTATAATAAGATTTTCGAATAATACAATACACTTTAGGATAATAAAAAGACAATGTTTATATCAAATAATGAGGTTTACATCTAGATAGTAATTTAGTCGATTACTTTATAACCCATTGTTACTGAGTTGGTAAAATTATATCACAAAAATGTTAATCATAACATAAAAAGCAGATTGACGAGAGCTAAGATGGAATGGGTTCAACTAACAACATAAATAGAACAAAGAAACGCTAAAATTAAGAAGAAAAAACTAATCAACATAATTTGAACAAATATTCAAAACTTGACAATTGTTTCGTGCTAGTGTTTGACTCCTCAGCAGCGTAAATCCACAATCTCACCAAGAATCAAACCTAGGACGTTCAGATCTCGCGATTAGAGGGAATTAGTGACCGATGGATTTCAAATTTGTCGAATGTCAGGGAAGTACCCACCAAAAACAGTGAGAGATGGTCGTGAAATACAGTCAAATGACTGAAGTTAAGCATATAAACCACTGAATGCTGGTTCAGTGGCCTAAAAGTATAGCTCCCATTAGCGAGGATCAAAGGTCCTGGGTCTGAAACTCGGCGAGGCCGTGGATGTACACTCCTAAGAAAATCCATACTAGGACACAACAACTAGTCAATGCTTCCAGCCTTTTAATGATCGTTTCACCTAGGAGAATGAAATTTACGATTTACATCATGAAATGACCTAAGTAAGATGACCACCAAAAACCAGGAAGCATTTAATGATAGTCTCATCTCATTGTGAGAGCTCTCAACAGTCTCCATCCACGATCCCACTAGCGGTCGAACTCAGCATATCGCGTTAAGATTAGTCTGTGATGCAAACTAAAAACATTCAATCATTTCCACAAACATCGTATACTAATAAACGAACACTTAGACGGTAAGGAATGAAATAAAAATGCATAAATACAGATAATCACCAAGTGATAACAGATTATCTAAGCTGTAAGTAGTACCTCTGACAGAAATCACTGAGTTTATTCTAACAGACTACTCAATAATAATTGTGATAACACATAAACATCAACCGAAAAAAATCAATCGTGAACTTAATTAGAAGAAAATCGAAAACAGCACAGGTTCATGAAAGATCAAAATCGAATTTATAGATACCAGAAAAGTAGTCCATTTAGAAAGAACATATTTATTAAATAAGGTCAAGTGCGTCATTATTATATGGAATTTTAGTACATTTGAGAAACAACAAAATCTCATTACCTTAGATGTTAGGGTTTATATTAATGAAATATTTGGGTGAATAAGAAATGAACTTAACATGTTGACAATTCTAGCATATTTCTGGAATTCTAGTTTCAGTTTTGGTGTTGACACTTAAAGTTTTATTACTGGGCATTGCAAAATTTTAGGTGACACAGGAAAATAGGCTATCAACAATGGTAAGAAACAATGAACCGAAAATAAATAATTGGCACAAAGTTGATAGTGACCGAAAGTGACCGACTATGAAGTCTGTAAGTAACCCACAGGAGGCTAAGGCCTCCTCCAAAGTAATATAGATCCGGAATTTTCTTTTAAAAGTGTTGTCAAAAAATATGAAACTTTAATACTGTGTCCTACGTTCATCAAAGACACTTCAGGACTGTGATGAACAATCTTTTTGTAAATACCAATAAAAATCCACAAAAAATTCATCTTTCATTCCTTCCACTGAACCAGTTGCTGGCATATATATGAATAGGTATGTCAACAGCTTGAAATTCCTAACCCCACCAATCCTCATTAGATGGTTACAAAATACACGAGGAATGTGCTTCGAAGACACCTTTGATCGAATATTAGGAACTTATAAATATCCTTTATTCTTGATGGCCATTCTTCATATCCATGAGTGAGGTATAACAGAGCGAACTGCTGTGTAGTAAGCTCGTCCTTTGGGTGATAAATGGATATCTTACCTACATTGCAAGTGACGCAAGCTGGCAGAGGTTAATTGAGCTGTCTGAATCTGTGAGGAAATTTCGTCAAACACCAGCCTTTCAGGGCTGATAAAATTCGCAGGATAAGTGAAGCAATCTATATGTTTAATTACCACCATTAAAATTTGGAAGGAATAGACAGTCGTTTTATCCCAGTACGGGGCTCCTCAGCAATGTACACACACGACTCCGTATATGGAACTTGAGTCCAGTACCTTCGGTTTCACGTGCGAACCAGCACTATCAACTTATAGTCTTTCATTTTGCTGCTGTATACTTTCATTTTGTTCATTGCACTAATATTTTATTCAATAGTTTGATTTTACAAAAAACTGTGAAACCAATCATACAAAAGCTGAATAAATTAAAATTTCATTCAAACAGAATGTTTCTATTCTAATAATGATAATCTATTTTACTACAACAGGTTTATTATGAAGATTATTACGTTTTAAATTTAACTTTCGTGGTGAACTAATATCAGTTGGAAAATTGTTGAGACCTAGGGAGTATTGGACAGTTTTCTCATAATTCAATTTTCAAAGATGTGCCTAAATTAGAAATGCGGACCGCCACATTTGGAGTCAGTGGTCTAAATATATTTTGTTGACTCAGGGTTTTAATAAAGTGTACCAGGTTAGCATGAAACAGCTATTCAATCTTGTCGGGTAGTGGTTCAAAGGAGTCGACAGAAAACTCTGCAGACGTAGGTTTTGTGTTATTTGGCGTGTCATCCAGCATGATAGTCAGAAACGTTATCTAGGTATCTAGGCAGGGACTGACCTGTAGGACTGAGATGTACTTACAATCGGTCGATTTCTGGGTAGATACTAATGTCATATATATGAGGTCCACCTTAGTGCTAAACTAATTCTATCGATTAAGTTGCAATATGCCTACTACTCTAGATGACTTGACATCACGTGCACTACGTTGAGATATCAGTTGGTGGTTGGAGGTCATCGACTTTTACCTAAGGATGCCAGAACCTAGGTTTTGGCACTCATCAGTAAGGTGTATCTGTAATCTTGAGAGAACTGATGCCCCCTACCTACAACTACTACAATATATCTCAACATAGTGCATGTGATGTCAAGTCATCTAGAGTAGTAGGCATATTGCAACCTAATCGATAGGATCCCGTTAGCACTATGAAGGACCTGACATACACAACATTAGTCACTACCCACAAATCAATCATTTGTAAACTATCCAGTTTTTTCGTCTTTACGAACCGACTTAGCAGTAGCCCTATAATACTTTCCATATCAATGCCGGAAATCGGTAGATAACGGTGATGTCATGAGAATTTATAAGCTATACACGTCAACTTACTAATATAAAATTAAACAGCTGTACATTTTTATGACGAGAAATTAATTTTCTTATCATAAGATTAACTGAATGCACACAAACATTACTGTTATCGAAGTTTACTCTGGAAAAAATCGGAACGGAATGATGAATTTCTTAACAGATAACAAGTAATGAGAGTAAATATGAATATTTTCTAGCTTTCCTTAGTAGTACAAGGAAGCTATAGTACAGTATAGTTTGTGAGACGAAAAAAATAAAATAGTGTATTGTTTTCTATAGTTCATAATAAGGTCACAATAGGCATATGATTAGTATAAGGGAGAATCTTCCAATAAATCAATGGTAAGATGAGAAATTTATGAAGCCCCCAAATGCCCTGGTATGGCCGAGAGTGGGGTGGGCCCACCCTCCCTCTCGAAATGCTCTCACACGGCCAAGCGTATACAGCCTCTGCCAGGGAAGTCCTACTCACTGTGTTCTCGTGGCGGGGGTGATGTTTACGAAAATGAGAGGACGAAAAGCGAATGTCCGGCGCTTTATCCGGATTCCAAACCAATGGTTCATATGGGCTCCAGTATCCTGAAGGAGCAAATGGCGTACGAACCAATCGTTGGTCACCGGCTACCATGGGACTGCATCTCCTCACGATGCCCCACCGCCTTGTGGGTCAGACCTTTAGGTCAAAGGCTCGGGGTGTGGCCTCCTAAGAAAACCACCTGTTTCGGTCTGGGCACCGGGGCAGTATCACAGCCCACACACACAAATATGATGAAATGATGAAATTTATGAATAGGAACAACGGTGTGAATAGTAATAATAATAATGGGAATAATACAAACCATGATGTATAATCCATCAACCACAACAATAAATTGGGACAAACGAGAATTTTCTCCCGTATACAACCTCAATAGGCTTCGTTTCTCAGAAAAGGGTGTATATGACCTTAAACTATGAATATTGTGATATATACAGATATAGGCTGATTGATAAATATCTCGACCAAAAAGTATGTACTACTTAACATATAAATCATCACTCTCTCACAAACATGTATATATATATATACACTTCAGATTTATACTATTCTCTATGACGACCTAAAAGA